TGTTCTTGTCTATTTTTATATTCTCTGATTTTTTTTATCTTTGCTTTTTCTTCCTTTGTATTTCTGTCATGTTTGTAACTCAGTTTGTACTGGACAGTGCCCAAGCATGTCAGATGAGCTTACTTCTCAAATTCTTCGCTGCCTTTATTTTGGGTACTATGCTTTGCTTTGTTTCAATGCCTTTTTGAGATGGGCTGCCAGCATGTATATACCTTAGATTACTCATTGAACAAATATTTATTAGCTTATCTTTCATGACCAAAGACTTTTGCTAGGTGATTTATGGGTTACAAAGTGCTTTCATGTCATCTTATTTGAGCCCCATAAATACTCTGGCTAAGTGACTTACCCAATATTTGACTACTAAGTGCCTAATTCAAAACTTAAACTCAGTTTGTCTGTCTTTAAATTTTTTGCTTATCCTCCTGAATTACACTAGTGCTGATCTTAAGAGCTTAGCATGTTGGTTTAAAGAAACCCAGGGCTTAGGTGTTGGAGTTAGACCGAGTTTGAATACCAGCTCTACTATTACAGTGTTATTTTGGGGAGAGAAATTAACCTGTGTGACTTAGGTCTTCCCAGGGTGGTGGACTTTTTCAGTTTTGTTATGCAACAATGACTCCTTTTTCAAAAAGTAACTGTAACTTAAGTCATTGCTCACACATGTTACTTTCTTTAATTTAAAAGAATAAACAATGTTTGATTTTTCTGCCTATAAATATAATAAACTTTTAATTTTATAAAATTTGGAAGATACATAAAAACACAAGAAAATCAGAAACCAATATAATCACGGTTCTGAGATAACTAGTAGGGTACATTTTTTGAAGATTTCTTTTATTATAAAAGTAATGCATGCTTGATGGAAAAACAGTCTCACAGCACAAGCACTCCATTTTTTCCTTTTCCTCATCTTGATCTCCAGGGTTAGCAGTTGTTAATTGTGTTATTTTCCAGACATTTTTCTCTACGTGTAAAATGTATACATCATACCCCTCCCCACCCCCTGTTGGTTGGAACCATATACACATACTTTACATACTGTAGAAAGTGTGTTGACATGGAATTAAGTTAGTATCATAGGAATTATGTATAGATCATTGTCTTTACCTATATCATATAATTCCATTATGGGGATAAAAATCAGTAATTTTTTTATTAAATTAGTTTAAAATTCAACACTGGAGACATTTTTGATTGTCACAGCTTAAAGGGGCATCAGTAGGTAGAGGCCAAGAATGCTGCTGAACATCTTCCAGTGCTGGCACAGGGCTCCACAACAGAGAATTAGCTGTCCCCAAATGTCAGCGGCTCTGAGATTGAGAAACCCTGCTGCAGTCATTTTGAGGCCTACTTTGTTGATTTTCTTGCTCTTATTGTTTTCCAATAGTACTCTGAGCTTTGCTTATGTTACGTTAGCATAATTTTCTCTGGCCATTTTAGGTGCAGCCACTGCCTTGAGACTGTTCCAGGTATCCTATATGAACTGATTGGGAAAAACTTGAACTTGGAAAAAATCATCCTGTTTGTTCTAGGCTCCCCTCTTGATTCTCTGGCTAAAGCTAAATTGCATCTCTTGCTGTTTTGTTCAACTCAGGGTCTCAGCCTCTTGGAAGTAAAAGATCAGCTGCTGCTCATGTACCTTATGGATTTGAGCCATCTCATCCTGGAAAAAGCCTCGGGAGAGTCTCTTCAGGGACATGCTGCAGTTTTGAGACTGGTGGAAATTCGCACGGTATGAAACATTTGGCATCTTAGAGTTCTAGGTTTCCAAATCCTGAACTCCAGGACTGTAACACACCAGCTCTCATTTAAGTGGATTTTTCATGTTTCAGTGAATAAACCAAATGAAAAAAAAAAAAGTAATCTCTTTATTTGCTCTACTTATTGCATATTTTAGGTGCTTTATTTGGCAATTTACTATAGGGACTCCAGTGTGTCCTTAATTTTGGGAAGGGAATATAATCCTTTTTAACCATGTTACAGGTTTTGGAAAAACTTCGTCCCTTGGACCAAAAACTGAAGTATCAAATTGACAAACTAGTCAAGACTGCAGTGACAGGCAGCCTTGGTAAGTAGGAGAAGCTGTATGGTTATGCAGCAACCATCATAAAGTCCCATATCTTATCAAATTTCTTGGGTTTTTTATGTTTCAGGTGAGAATGACCCACTCCGTTTCAAGCCTCATCCCAGCAATATGATGAGCAAGGTAGGGGTGCTCTTATCCCGATTTTTCTGATGAATCAGCCTAAATGAGCCTCATGGTGATCCTGGATCTCCTGGGATTCNTGGTTTGATAAGGTGGTTTCTTTAGCTTTAGTAAGAGATGAAAAGTTTTTCTACCTTTTGAAGAAGTATCAGAAACCATCTCCTATATTTCCCCAGAACTGAAAAGAAGATAGTATTGTACGTTGGGTAGTGTTTCAGATAATTTTTAGGTGGCATTGGTTAGCTTTTACCCTTCACAGCTCACAGAGATCACTTGATGTATTCTAGTCAGCTGTTTTATTTGGACTAATTTCAGGTGATGGCTGTAACTGCACAAGTTCAAGCTCTGACCAAAAAAGTTCAATCTGGAGCCTATCCTACAGAGAAGGTAAGACATACTTGAAGAGCATGTATCCCCTGACTTGATGTTCTCAATAGTTCTTTCATCATAGATATATTGAGTGTCTTGTATGTCCAAAGTGCTGGAACTTCAAAGATGAGTACAATCCAGTTTCTGTGCTGAAGTCTAGTGAGAAGATGGATCAAAGCAATAGGTATAAGCAGTAGCAGACATGTTGCAGAGTCATAATGAAAGCTGTGCTATCCAAGGAGAGAGATAAGTAATTGCCAGAGGAAGTCAGGAAAGGCTTCCCAGAAGAGGTGACAGTATTATGAAGAATAAATAGGAGAGGGATAGAAAGAAACAGAATGTGCAAAGGCTTAAGGCCTGAAAGCATGGTGATATTCTGGGAAAGGAGGTAAGTCATTTAGCGTGGTTGGATGTACATTTTGTGTGTGTGTATATATTTGGGGTAGAAAATATGACTGGGAAGGTAGTCACTGCGAAAAGCCTTGCCAGATGAGTAGTTATTGTTGTATTTCATCTAATCTAAGATGTTGTTGTTTGGGGACATACCACTCATTTATACTAAGAGAAAAATGCTTTCTGTTAATTTATGACATAATGCTAAGATACCACTGATTAAAAGATGCATCCTGGGATGGCCAGGTGGCTCAGTTGGTTAGAGTGCATGCTGTGAACAACAAGGTTGCCAGTTCGATTCCCACATGGGCCAGTGAGCTGTGCACTCCGCAATTAGATTGAAGATAACGACTTGAGCTGAGCTGCCAGTGGGCAGCCGGAGCTCAGTTGGTTAGCACGCGTACTCTTAACAACAAGGTTGCCGGTTCGATTCCCGCATGGGATGGTGGGCTGTGCCCCCTGCAATTAGATTGAAAACAGCAACTGGACTTGGAGTTGATGGGTCCTGGAAAAAACACA